TCTTGGGTGCCTTTGCTTCTAGGGTAGTGACCTTGGGTAGGGCGTATAGGTCAGGCCTATGACCCTACCCTAGGTCTATATCCTCATTAGACAGCGCCGAAGCGATCAACCCTATGAGTGTGATGCACCTCTACTTTATATTGGCATCCGTCGCGGGCTCAACACTTGGGCCTCGCACGGACCCTAAAGCCCAAAATCTGTTCGGCCGGGATCCGAGTCCGAGTAGAATCACATCTGACTCGTGGAGTCTGATCCGGCCTCATAGGTTCCTTCCCTTAAGCGCGCGACCCCTTAGGTTTAAGTCAGCTTGGTCGCAGGTCGGATCACCTTTGACCTGCTCGGCTGGTAGCGGCCTCTAGCAAGGCGTGCCGACCATCAAGCAGACAATGAAGCCGGTTGGCGAAACTGTACATCCACTAGTAGAAAAGAGGGCTTTGGTCCACCCCGGATTAGCCCATTAGTCCCGGTTCAGTCCAGAACCGGGACTAATGGTGGCATTAGTCCCGGTTCATGCACCCAGGGGCCACGTGGGCAATTTGTCCCGGTTCGTTTGGACCTTTTAGTCCCGGTTGGTGCCACAAACCGGGACTAAAGGGTGCGATGCCCATTAGTACCGGTTCATGGCAGCAACCGGGACTAAAGGTTAGACCTTTAGTCCCGGTTCAAGCCACCAACCGGTACTAATGGGGTTTGAGGCATTAGTACCGGTTCATGGCACGAACCGGTACTAAAGGTCACATTTTCAAACTCCACCCCCCCCCCCTCGTGGATCGCCTTTTCAGTTTAAAAAAACAAAAGAAAATGATGAAAATGTCAAAAAAATAAAAATAATAAGTTTCCCATGTGATATGTGGTCTAGTTGTTGGGAAATTTTGCAAATGTGAATTTTGACTTTATTTGCAAAATCTCTCTAGAATTTAGTAAAATGGGCATAACTTTTGCATACTGACTCGGAGGAAAAAGTTTTTTATATGAAAAATCATCTACTCGAAAAGTTACATCCAAATTTAAACGGGGGAACCCTGTTAAACATTTTCAAAATCCTAAAAAACCTAACAGAAAAAAAGTTACGGGGCTTTTAAGATCTAGAGCGGAAAAAATCGAAAAAATTTCAAACTATGGTCAAATAATGGTCAAACTAATTATTCTAGAATATTAGTGTTACTAAATAATTATTTTAGTTATTTTGAATTTTGGTCAAATCTGGTCAAATTGTGGTCAAACAATGGTCAAACAATGGTCAAACTAATTATTCAAGAAATATTAGTGTTACTAAATAATTATTGTTTTTTAAAACAATAGTTTAAACTCAAACAATGAAATGTGTCACTTCATGCTCACGCAAAATTCCCGAGGGTTAATAGGATTGACATCTTACTATTGTCAAGAAAACAACAAGTGCAGACTTGGAAAGGAGGGAGAATAGAACCCAGAAGTTAAGCGTGCTCAGGCTGGGGGAGTGGGAGGATGGGTGACCGTTCGGGAAGTTGGATGACTAGGAATGAGGAGGGGTGATTAGAGATTAAAGGATAAATTGAGCAGTGATGAGGGGTGGTGATTAGAGATTAGAGGTTAAAATAATTTAGAAATTTGAAAATAAAAAAATTTCAAAAAAAATCATAAAATTTCCTTTAGTCCCGGTCGGGACTAAAGGTGGAGCTCCACGTGGCCGCAACTAAAGGTGGGAGGCATTAGTAACGGCCCTTTAGTCTCGGTTCAAAAACCGGGACTAAAGGGCCTTACCAACCGGGACTGATGCCCCCTTTTCTACTAGTGATCACACTTCCATTCCTTTTGCCACATGATATATGTTGTCGGGCTCAAGGCAAGTCTGTCATCCTTGTGCTAGCCCGACCTCTTTCTCGTTCCAGTGATGCCGACCACAAACTAGATTATGTCATAATCCTTGTCGCATGGCCATGCTTATTCTGGTCGGATCACACAAGGGGCCCAGAGTATATCTCTCCCAATCGGAGGGGCAAATTCCATCTTTCTCGACCATGTCTCGCAACATGGGTCTGGACAAGCCCAAAACCTACCTTTGTAACTACCCAGTCACGAAATAGCGTTTGGTTGGCCCAAAGCAGGTTTTTCACCATCCCGAGTACATGCGCCAGCTCAGGTCTTAAGACATAGAATGTATGTTGTACTAGAGACTCACATATGACATATTGTTGCGTCTCATAGTTGGGTCTGCCCGACTCGGACCTTATCTCGATCGGATCCGACTACGTCGAATCCGACCAGATCCTTCCGAGTCCATATTATCCGGTTAGCATCCAATGCTCCATAGCTAGTGAGACCAAGCCATCGACCGTGTCATATGCTAGTCTAGTCGGCTGCACGTCCACACATCCCTTTTGACTAGGGACCTTTTATGACAGTCATCATACAATGCGTAGTCCCACAAACAAGTCACGGACTTGCTGATACACATCATTGATAATGTTCAAGGACTATCTTTATTCATAAACACATAGGAAATATCATCATACATGATTGCCTCTAGGGCATATCTCCAACAAAACAATGGATTCCTACAGTTCGTCGGACGAGAAGTATGGACCGACAGAGCTTGCGAAATGATTCAAAATGAGTTCTTCGTTTCATCGAATTCAGACGAAGAAGTCGAGATGATCATGATCATAAGCATCCAACAACAAATTGAACGGGAGGTGAAGCACATTCTCAAAACTTCAATGGCTCGATCAAAGAGAGAGTGGAGGCACATGATCCCTACTTCAAGCTCGCTAGGGATTGTTATGGACAACTATCATTCTCTGCTAGGCAGAAATGCACGACTGCTCTGAGGATGCTTACACTTGGTACCGTTGCCGATGCTGTTGGTGAGATGGTACGGATGGGGAGGGCAGATGTCTAAAGACCACTGCAAAGTTTGCCCGTGCATGTGACATGCATTTGGAGCAGAGTATCTGAGAGAACTAAATGTGCAGGATACAAAAAATTGCTGGCTATTGAAGAGGCAAGAGATTTTCCAGGTATACTCGGTTCAAATTGTATGCACTGCAATAAAAGAACCGCCTTAAAGGTTTGCGCAGGATGTACCAAAGTCACACCAAAGAAGCCACCGTCATATTGAAAGCATTGACATCACATGAGCTGTGGATTTGACATGCTTTCTTTGAAATGTCTGGTTCTCACAACGACATCAACGTGTTTCAGCGATCTCCCCTATTCAGGAGACTTTGTAATGCGAAATCGCCGCCACACAACCACACTGCCAACGCCGCAACTACAACATGGGATACTATCTTGTCGGTGGTATATATCTTTAGTGGACGACATTTGTGAAGACCATAGTTGAACCCCGAGGCAACAAACAAAGTCACTTTCAACAATACAAGAGGCAGTTATGAAGGATGTGAAGAGGGCATTCGGAGTTTCGTGGAGCTGTAATAATGCGACATTCACATATGTAATGGACGTGCATGTATTTATATGAATTTAAGATGTGTGGTTATGCATAATACATGAGGGGCTGTCTGGCGCGGTCTATGAGGTCAAATTTAACAAAACCGGCGGTAGATGCCCCAAGATTTTTTTTTTGAAATGAAGATGCTCTAAGATTTGACTGCCTAGCACGTGAAGACCGTGAGAGGAGAGTATTTTTTTTGACCCGCAAAAAGAAAAGAGAGAGAGAGAGAAGAAATAATTTAGCTCCCTTGCCATGCCAGCCTGTCTGCCCCCACAGTCGAGAGTGTGATGAAACCAAAAAGACCCATTTGCCCCCCGAGGCAATAATCAAACCCGAGCTCCCTCAGCTCGCCTCTCCATTCACACTCGAACCCTCGACCTCTCCTCCCAGTGCAGCCTCGCCGTCGCCAGGGAGAGCGGGGCAGCCTGCTCCACCACTCCGGCCACTCCGGCCGGCGACCGCGCGGCGTCCTGCAGCGAGGTGCTTCCCTTCGCCCCACCCCCTCTGCATTCTTCTCCCGCTCCCTCGCTGTTCGCCGCGCCCACCCGCTCCCCCTTTTCGCTGCGGGACCCCCTCCAGCCTGGCGACCGGCGGCGATTCAAGGCGGCGGCGGCTGCCAGCGAGGTTACCCCCGCACCATCTCGCCGCTCGTCCCATCCGTTTGCCAGATCGTAGGTTTTGGTCCCCGGTTTGCGTCGTACGAACGAACCCTAGGTTTTGTTCGTGAGATGAAATAGGGTTGCTGTCGAGGTGGGGGTTTGGGAGGGGAGAGGCGCGATGGACCACATTATGTGCGAACTAACCGATTTTTGCTAGCATCGGTCAAGCCATTATCCCAGGGAGCGCCGTGTGCGTGCAAACTGCAAAGAGCGAAAGCTCTCCGCCTCCTATCTGTCTATGCTGTGTGCTGGAACAACGGAAAGAAGGGCCAAAGTTGCCTTTTCCTTGGCCGGGTAAAAAGGGTTAATTGATTTTTTTTACTGAAGGGGTTAACTGATTTTGTTATGTGAAGAACGAGGAATTTGACAAAGTGACACGCCTTTGTCTGACACGTGGGGTTTGGGGCCACCTGTAAATGTGTCATTTGTGTTAAAGTGCAAATAAACGTGTGGAAGCAAGTGCTCTTTTAGGGATGATAATACTAAGCAAGTGTTTAAGCTTCGGTGAGAGGAAGGAGGCCACATCCCATTTAAGAGATCTGCAGGGCGAGTCTGATGCTCTGATTCGCTAATTGGCTAATTGCACATGTCACATGGCAATGATGGTGTGATCTGATGTTGGTGTTGAAAAACCATACCACGGAATGAGCTTTAGCCTTGTTTGAGTAATTGGTGGGTTATTGCACCTGCCATACTACTCCTTGCAGATGATTTCAGGTGTTAACTGCCAGGCAGGCGGTTGTTGGTGCCTAACACTTCAGGCTACGTGTCTGCTTTCTATAACAGTGAATTTAAGTTAATCTTTTGGTCGAATAGCTTTCTGTCAAGCTAACAAGCAGTCAGAGTGGGCAATATCAATACTAACATTTCTTGTTTAATGCTGTTGCAGGTCTGAATTGGTCATTATGGTGAAGACAAGTGCAGAGAAAAGTCATGGTGTCATGGCTGCATGCACATCAAGTTCTGAACTTCCAGAACTTAACCAAAGGCAGAATTTCCGTTTAGGAGATATAACATGGGTTAAGCATGATGGCTCCTCATGGTGGCCAGCCCAGGTATGATGCATACACCTTCTGAGCACTTCATATACTTCAACTAGCTAAATACCTTTTGCTTTGCTACGGTTCAGCAATTTAGATTACCCCAACATGTTGAACCATTTTGTTGCTGCACTAGACGCCAGTATGGTTCTAAAATAATTGTAGATGCCAGTGAATATGCTTGTTGCATTGCGCATCAGCTTAATTTGAACACTGGCAGATGGTTGCATCTGTACTGTAGTAGAGCAATTATATGGATCATGTATGAGTAAGATAGTTTGGTCAAGTCTCAAGTGCCAATGCCACAACCTTTGTATTTGTATGATGCAAAGACAAAACATTTCAGACTTTTCCCAACTGTTATGTTCTTCATCCTAACTTCCCATGCACATATTTAGACCACTTCTGTTTCTGAATTCAAGGTCATTGATGAAGCATGTGCCAGTAGCAAGGCCAAGAAGAAGACCAGCCATGATGCTCTGGTTCGACTGTATGGCACATGCCTAGAGTAAGGGTCCTAATAACATGTGAAGCCTTTCTTTTCTTTCTAGTGGTGATAAACTGATAATCTTTACGATAAAGGTAATTGTTTTCACTATTTTATTTTCAGCTTGTATGTTGACCCATGGAAGTCTAACATGGAATTCGAAATGGTATGCACATCTTCTATCCTACAGCTCATGAGGATGCAATCCTAATACGGAGTAGTGGTAACTGACTGAAGTGTATAAAATAAACTTAAATCAGCTGAAACACAAAAATAACCAACAAGGCAACAACTTCAATCATTATGGAAATTTTGATTTCCTTAGGTTTTTAACTTCAGGAAACTGATATAACCAAAAGGCTGAATTGACGGACATACATTCACAAACACTTGATAGATTATACTCCCTCCGTTCGGAATTACTCGTCCAAAAAATGAATGTATCTAGATGTATTTTAGTTGTAGATACATCCATTTTTGTGACAAGTAATTCCGAACGGAGGGAGTATAATATTGCATATGTTGATAATGAAATTCTAACAATTGTTCTGAATTGTAATATGCTTTGTTCTAACTAACAGAATGTACCAATTGCACGACTCACACATATATGTTTTAGGATTGTACAGGTAAAACATGTATTTTATTTTATCATTGTTGCATAATAACTAATAAACTAACTTAGCTGATCGAATGAATATTTTTCTAGTTAGTAATTGTCTTGTTTTTTCTACCTAAACAGGCCAATATCAATCGAATCCTCACCAGCGTCAATACTTGTGCACTGTATAAACTATAAACTGCTTTTGTTATTTAACTTCCAAGAAAATAAGTTGTTTTTGTCTTTTCACGCATGAACGATATCCAACCATGACCATTTTGAATTTTTAAATATTTCTCATATGAGCTCATTGTATGCAGTTTCTGAAGGAAGAAAATAAGACAGCCATGGAAGCATTCCATGAGGTGTTTCAGAAGGTAGGGCAATCACCTTTGCTTTGAACATGTTATGAATCACAGTTTGGTAGAGGCTGTTGAGATCCATGTTTAATTTTACAAATGCAGGAGCTATCTCATTTTAAGTCGCCCAGTGATGATGATGAGGAAGCTGTCAACACAAAAGGTGAATTTGTGTTTTTTGCCTGGAGAATATATGCAGAAAAACACATTCTTTGTATTGATTATGGTGGTCCTTGTGGTTTGATCATTCATGTTATCCCTCTTCATTAGTGGTTTATGTTAACAGTGATATGTTACCGTTTGTGTATCTTTCCAGAATGGTGTGATTAGGTAACATGTTCTAGGAGCAGTATCAGTGTCAGTATGCTAAATTATCACCTGTGCGGTTTTATTTCCCTGATCAAGTTTTAAATCGCCTTGCTATCAATGATACAAATATATTTTTTCTTCAATTGCTACGTATCTAATTTTCTATTTTCATATGGTCTGACCATGTTGGCCACAGCCAAGACGTCTACTAAGAAAGTCAGAAAGCAAGAAGACGTAGAGCAGGACCAAGAAGTTCGGAGCAATGCAAAAGGTGGAGGTGCTGTTCAGAAAGGAAAAAAGCAGAAAGGTGTGAGACAAGCAAGTGCTCTTGACAAAGCTTTGAGTATAGAATCTGCTGAAGGTTTAAGAGATAAGACACCCAAGCAAGCTTCTGCTGTGCGAGATAAAAAGAGTGGCAAGAAGGCATTGTCAGGAGCATCAGTGGCCAAAAAGGAAGGATCCTCAAAGCGATCGGGCCGTACCAATCTGAAGGAATATTCAGATGCGGCGGAGGACAGCACATCACAACTCCATGATACAAGCGCGAGTAAAAATGCAGCTGAAGCAGGAGACATGGCATCAGTGAATCGAAGTCAGCACAAAACTGGTTCGACGGTTGAAGGAACCCACCGGAAGATAAAAGCTATGGTCAGGGATATACTGTTGGGGGATGTCATAGACAGGCAGCTTGCTGCTGAAATGGCATATGTGGATGAAGTGATCTTTGGAATCTGTGAAGCTACCGAGGCAAAGGCGGCTCAGGGTGCTGCTGCTACTACTGAGACAGAGGGTGGACTAAGCACCAAGCGGGCCGCTAGTGGGCTGGAGGCTGACTCGAGCCGTGCCGCGAAGAAGAAACCTAGAAAGGGGAAGGCGGCAAAGCCGGAGACCAAGGACCCCAACTCTTCTCCTGTAAGTAGACACTCCACACTCGTGAATACGATTGTCTGAATGAATTTCGCACACTGATTTGACCAAACTCCACCAGAGCAGGGGCACGGCGGCCACGGGGGGATCGGAGCAGCATAGCGCGCGCCAGATCAAGATCATGCAGAGCCTGGGCCTGATCGCTCCGCTGGGATCTCCGTTCGACATGAAGGGTTCTGCTGCAGTCGCCCGTTGATGATATTTTGTAAGCACACCATTGGTTCTGTATGGAAACCCTAGCTATGGTGCCTACCTGATCTACCTACTAGTAGTTTACAAGTGCCAATTTCTGTTCTTGGTTACGGAAGACTTGGCCGGACATAGCTGCTGCGTACGTAAGCGCACAGTTAGTTCTATCTGTATCAGCGCAAAGACGAGCCGCAGTCGCTCAGCGCTGTACCAAATTGGTTATTAAGATATTAAGTCGCGACTTGATTATTTCCGGTTGGTGCTAGGAAGGATCTGTTGTGATCGATGCGGTGGCATGAATGACCCAATGCTCTGTGGACGTTCTGATGCCGATTTGGGCAGCATATGCACAAACCTGATTGCCTGTTTAGTGGTCGTTTGCGTTATCTGAACCAAGAGATTAATATACAGGGCTTTGTTTGGCTCATAACACAACAAAGGGGTGGTGGCGCAGTTGGCTAGCGCGTAGGTCTCATAGCTAATAATGTGAGTGATCCTGAGGTCGAGAGTTCGAGCCTCTCTCACCCCAATTTGAAATGACCGTGTGATGATGAAACGTTCTGTGACAACTTGGGTAGTCACATCTCCACCTGAATCATCAGGTGAAACTGAGCAAATCTGAACCTGGTCATCTTTTTCTTTTTTGCTGGTTCTCACTCTCACATATCTCAAACTAAGTTTTCTTCAGTGTACCACTACACAAAGAACACAGTAAAAATTCACTGAACCGAGTGACAACCCAACCAAATTCTCATATATGATTTGCCATGTTAATTCATTTGTTTATTCCACCACACAAGACATCATCAACCCCACGGAGGGGGTGGCTCTAACCGTGCATGGCCTTGAGGAGCTTGCGGCAATCCTCCACGCAGGTCGCCGCCGCTTCAGCATCAGCAGCATCCGACTCGGCCACGCCGTCGACGACGCAGCCCGATGCCTCTCCGCAGACCCCCGGGCACCTGCCGCCCATCTGGCCGCCCAGGGCGCACACCACGCCGCAGAGCGGCTTGCAGAACAGCCGGGGGTGCCTCAGCCTGCAGTCGGAGTAGCAGCTGACTTAGCATTTGCAGAACGCCGACAGCAGGATGACGAGGAGCACGCAGAAGGCCACAACCTTCACTCTCTTCTCCTTCTTCCCTTCCATTACTTCTGGTTCTGGTTCTTCCTCTTTTTTGCTGAGAGGTGACAGTCGCTGGGCTGCCCCTCTCTTTATACCGACGAAGAAGCCTTCTTCTGCTGCACACGGCATTGACTCTGCAAGAAGCTTCTTGGGCTGCACATGCCATTGTTTCTCGGAGAAGATTTTCTCTCTAGAGATGAGCTAGCTTGATTCAGGAAGAAGCTTTTCCTTTTGCGGAGATGATCATACATATGGAAGCTCAGATGCTCTTCCCAGAACAATTATGAAGTGAACTACTTAAAACACTTTGCTGTTACAACTACCCCTCCATGTTCCATGAATCGACACATAAGTTCTATCATCTGTTTCTTACCTTTGTATTGCACACATACATATAGAGAGGAGTGTGTAGTACACAAGTTATTGCTCAAGCAATGCATATGTACGTGCATCTTATATAAATATAGGCTTGTAGTGCTCGTTTTCAAGGTCCCATTTCTGATCCGTAAGCCTCTATATTAGGCATACTCGTGCAATTTTGCAACGGTGGTATTAGTGGCACCATGTGAAATAAGAGTGAACTGCAGTCTTTACCCCCTAAGTTTAACATTTTTGACACTAATTACCCCATTTAAGAAAATTTCATCCATTATACCCCATTTAACAAAAGTGTTGTCATAAATTACCCTTTTTTATTTTTGTGAGTGTTCCGACCTATGGGCCCCGATTACTAGGTCCATGTGGCGTGCCATGTCGTCGGGTTTTTCCTGGAGTTTTTTTCCTCATGTGAACCGGTCCGCGCCGCTGCGCCGGACCGGACTGCCTGATGTGAATCACGCGCACCGCGGCACCGGCACACCGCACTCCTGGCGCCTGTCCCGACCCGCACCACGCTTGCCTGTAGAGCACGCACTGGTCGCCTAACCGCGCACGCAGTAACTAAATAATTGATCATGATTTTGATCTTTCATAACAACTTAATGGCCACCTCTTCAACATTTTCTTGTCGGATCGGTGATTAAGGGTACCAAACAAAAAAGAAAACCTTGTTTGTGGCTCTCACGTCTCAGTAGAAGCCACTGAAACTATACATTTACAAATTATAGGCAGTTTCCCTATTACTGTGTGTTTTCATCATGTTATTACATCCGGATATATGGTTATCTAATGCTCCGATTTTACATACAGAAAAGTTCAAGTTCCATTTAACATTAGTACTCCACCCGTCCTATAATATAAGAGTGTTTTTGACACTCCCTCCATCCCATAATGTAAAACATTTTTTGACACTACTATAGTGCCAAAAATATTTTTATATTATGGAACGGAGGGAGTACAGTGCTAAGTAGACAAGCAGTCAAGCACTGATCACTGACATTGTTCATACTTGTTTTTTGAGGGTATGGCACACTGACAAGCTAACCTGGCGGCAAACTGAGGCCCATGTTCGAAGAGCTGGCAAAAAATTAAATTACCGATGGGAGGGTTCGATCTCATAACCTGCCAACCGGCCACGCACAGTTTGTCCAACTGCCCCAGCTAGAGATATGAGAGATTTTTTTCTCCCGTTGCAACGCACGGGCCTTTTTGCTATAAGATATCATATATTACGTGTAGTAGTAAAGTAGTATATATACATCTGTTCTAATCCGATCCATCCAGGTATACATAACTTACTGTCGGTTTATGATAATACTGAAGAAACAATTAAGGTCGCTTTATGATAATACTGAAGAAAAAAGATACATGTTTCAGGATTATATCCACAAAACCTTCTCCACAGTGATAATATGCTAAAGTGATCAAGTACAGCCATCTCATCGCAGATCTTCAAAACAAGAAACAGTGACCTGAAGTCCTGAACCCATCTAATTAATATGCATCCCGAACTGCAAGAGAACTAAAAGCCTAACCACCGGGTGTGAAAATCAGAGAATTCGGGCATGCATGAGAGGGGAGGAGATTGCCATACCAGTTGCTGCTTCCGGCTCCAACGATCACCAACATTAACTAAGTGTCGCCTGCCGCTCCGCGCCTACGTTCGTCCTGCCCTCTCTGAACGAAGAACGAGTGGGGTGGGCCAGACATGGGCCACCGTGAATGGGACTGGAGGATGAGCGATGCGTGCCGCGACTGGAGGCGAGCGTGGCGCAACAGACTCAGGCGAGATATGTGTGGTAGGATTGGATGGGATCATGGTGCATCGGACTCGAGCGACCTGTAAATCGGTGAGCACCTGCGTGTGCGTGTGCTTGCCATTGGCCAGGTCCGGTCGGCAGAAGCTAGCGAATTAGTTCAGTCTACACAAAAATCGCCAAGGAAAACCCCGCCAACGTGGCACGCCACGTGGACCTGATAATTGGGCCCCCTAGATCAGAACACTCACAAAAATAGGAAAGGGTAAACTGTGGCAACATTTTTGTTTAATGGGGTATAATGGATGAAATTCTCTAAAATGTGGTAATTAGCATAAAAAATGTCAAACTTAGGGGTAAGAGCTGGAACTCACACGTGAAATAATGACCATTATTTCAGCTGATCAACAACAACTTGCTTTGATTAAGTAGTAACCGGTGTCAATATCCATTTCACCATCCAACCGACCTGTGACCTGATCTGATTGTTTTTGGGGGCGAACGCAGCAACGGCCCATCGATA